GTAGGCTATTGTTTTTTGAGCTTAAGCGTTAAAAAAAATAGTTTTTGTGGAGTGTTTTTTTTTCAAACAGAAAAAAACAATAAATGCTCCTAAATGCTACTAAAACCCTCCTAAAATCTTTATTTTAACTTTATAATTTTTTTCTCTACATACACTGTAAAAATGCTAATGCTCCTAAAATGCTACTAAACGCTATTACCAGCGTTTTTTATCCAGCATTTTTTATCCAGGGTTTTTCCCAGCATTTTTTTTTTCTAAATGCTAGTGTGCATGTAGCCTAAAGCTGCTGTTTTAGTAGTAGCCTCCTATTAACCCAGTGCATTGAGCAAGCTTTAAAGCGGTAGTAAACCTCATCCAAAAAAAAAAAAGAAAAGAAAAACCCCTGCAAGGTACATAAAGGTATAATGTGCTAGTATGCACTGCATACTAGCACAATATGAAGGACTTACCTTGAAACAAAGCACTCCAGCATAGTGTTGTAACGGCTCTCCGGGGGTTCTATCTTTACCCGGTCTTCCTTCCGGGTTTGCGAGCTCTGGTAGACTGACTGGCCGAGCCGTGATGCCATTCCTTCAGTGTGCATGCACCAGCTATCATAAAGCTCTAATATCTCCTAAACAATGCACATTTAGGAGATATCAATTTTATTAAAAGCTTACCTGTAGGTAAAATGATTAAAGAAGAGTTTACTACCACTTTAACGTGACAAGCCTGAGCCAGTCCTAATCAGTCATTTACAGCTTACCTGTCACCACAAAATCACATTTTTTATGGTTTGTGGTGTAGGCTAGGGCTAGATATAGAGCTAGGAATACAACATGGGTTAGGATTACAGTTACAGTGTATGTAATTCTCTTTGGTCTGTTAAATATACCAATAAAGTGTTTCATTATATTTGCTTGATAAGTGAAAAAGATATTGGTACTTGCTAGAAATTTTGTGAATTGAAAATTTTCTGTTCTCTCTACCTCTGATAATTGTTATCTGGTAGCATTGCTCCCAGTTCTTTATGTAGACTGCAAATCCTCCCTGCTATGTCATGAAGAAGGAGAAAGGCAGAGGTTATCTGTAGTTCTAAAACACTGACTGTCTTTGGGTGACAAAGCTGCTTCTTCATAGGTAAGGTATGGTGAGCGAGCGTTGTCACTCTTGGACAGGAAGTGTGGTACTGGCTGGATCACTACTACTTGAAAATAAAGGAAAAAGAGCCTGAAAAAAGCAGGAATTCAGAATTTAGATCTAAGAACTGGTAAGCAATACTACACTGCATTTCTGTTGTTGGGTTTAGATACATTTAAAGGCCAACTCCAGGATAAATGTAACCCCACTCCAAACCCTCTCTCCCACCAACCTCCAGGATAAATGTAACCCCACTCCTAACCCTCTCTCCCACCAACCTCCAGGATAAATGTAACCCCACTCCTAACCCTCTGTCCCACCAACCTCCAGGATAAATGTAACCACACTCCTAACCCTCTCTCCCACCAACCTCCAGGATAAATGTAACTCCACTCCTAACCCTCTCTCCCACCAACCTCCAGGATAAATGTAACCCCACTCCAAACCCTCTCACCCACCAACCTCCAGGATAAATGTAACCCCACTCCAAACCCTCTCACCCACCAACCTCCAGGATAAATGTAACCTCACTCCAAACCCTCTCTCCCACCAACCTCCAGGATAAATGTAACACACCCACTCCTAACCCTCTCTCCCACCAACCTCCTGGATAAATGTAACCCCACTCCTAACCCTCTCTCCCACCAACCTTCAGGATAAATGTAACTCCACTCCTAACCCTCTCTCCCACCAACCTCCAGGATAAATGTAACCCCACTCCTTACCCTCTCTCCCACCAACCTCCAGGATAAATGTAACCCCACTCCAAACCCTCTCTCCCACCAACCTCCAGGATAAATGTAACACCCACTCCTAACCCTCTCTCCCACTAACCTCCTGGATAAATGTAACTCCACTCCTAACCCTCTCTCCCACCAACCTCCAGGATAAATGTAACCCCACTCCAAACCCTCTCTCCCACCAACCTCCAGGATAAATGTAACCCCACTCCTAACCCTCTCTCCCACCAACCTCCAGGATAAATGTAACCCCACTCTAAACCCTCTCTCCCACCAACCTCCAGGATAAATGTAACCCCACTCCAAACCCTCTGTCCCACCAACCTCCAGGATGAATGTAACCCCACTCCTAACCCTCTCTCCCACCAACCTCCAGGATAAATGTAACCCCACTCCTAACCCTCTCTTCTACCAACCTCCAGGATAATTAGAATGAGCAGGTTCTTTCTCTGAATACCATCTTGTATGATATAGCAAAGTCTATAAAAAACATTTCTTAGTACCAAATGTTACTATTTTTATTAAAGGTATGTGAAGGTGTTACACAATGCTTGGGTGCTTTCTGTTTATACTATAGCGTTTTATCCCCAGCCAGCAGTAAAGCCGTGAATACCGTAATTTATGTTCACAATTCCAAAATAGAAATTTTACCCGGAAAGGACATATTCCTGACTTTCCCTTCAGCAAGATTGTATCTTTTTTTGCACCTAAGGCCCTATTCAAATCTGGTGATTTGGGATTGCACTGCAATCATGGGAAAATGCAGTGTTTGGATGCCATTTATTTTTCAATGGTACCTCAAACACGGAGCAGTTTTGCAGCGATTTATAATGCAGCAATCGTGGCAAACCACATCATGCAAAACTTGTTGCCCAAAGGAAGCTCTTGCTCCTTTGTTGGCGACAATCTTCGCGCGATGCAGTTTGTTGCACAGGAAATCGCACAACAATCACAGCAAAACTGCACCACATTGGAGGTGCCATTAAAAATTAAAGGCACTCAAACAAGCATTGTGCATTTTGCCACAATTGCAGTGCAATTTTGAATCACTGCAATTCTGCCCATGATCCCAAATAGCCAGATGTAAGCGAGGCCTAAATGCGACTGTATCTAATTCCATTGTAGCAGAACAAGAGTTAGGCCCAGGGTTAGATATGGTTATACATAGAGCTAGGGGTACATATACAGTACTAAGTGTAACGCCCTCTAACTTAACCAGAGAGAGTTTGTTATTTTATTTTTAAGTGGCAGAGGCTTAGTAGCAGCCTGGAATGTGTCAGCCTGGGCGTGAGGTAGAGAGGTTACCTCAGGACAGGCTAGGGAGGTTCTGAAGGTCAGAGCTTCTGGAGCCCTCCCATTTCTCCAGAAATCTGAGATCTTTCTGGTGGAAGGATGAAGAAGGGGAGGAAGTTCAGATCTGCAGACTTGAGGGATATTGGTCAATCCCCTGGCATAAGGCTGGGAATGGTGACCAAGGCAACCCTTAAGTATCACAGGGTCTGTGCAGCAGGGGCAGTGAGTGTCAGGTGAAATATGGAGTAAGAGGCTGGAGTGTGGAGCCTGGGAGGTGGCTGGAGAAGAAGATCTCCACTGTACCACTGTCTCCAAGGGAGGACATCCTGACCATCAGGGATGGAGCCAGCCCAGCAAAATGCCTGAAGGCAGCCACCAACCCACCATGCTGACAGGAAAGGACAATGTGAGTGCTCTTACACCCCCTGGGCCGGATAAGGCAAGAGGGCAGTCAGGTGGAAAACTCAGCTAGCTTCTCATCTGAGGCTGCTGCATAAATTGGCTGCTTCTGGCCCCCCTGCCCAGGGAATAGCCTCAGTGCAGCTGGGTGAAGAGGAGGATTCATTTGGGATCTGAGGAGGTACACAAGAGAGCTGGAATGCTCTTAAAGGAGAGACTATTTTTTGTCCAGATCTGTACATAGTTGCTAAGGAGCTTGTCCTCACGTTTGCAGTTTACTTGGGCATCCCATATACCCCCCAACCCCATCCAACTTCTAAACCCCTTAATAAAATCACAAAATCAAGCTCAAGAATGATTTACTGACTTTGAGTGCAAAGTGTGGAAGAAAATGAGTGTTGCCTGGCTGTGCAGAGCTTTAGGAGGACCCAAAACTCAGCAACTCCTAAGGGGGTAGTGCAACATAAAGGTAGATATACTGTAAAACTAGGAGTATAATTAAGGTTAAAAGACTAGAGTTGTGTCTAGGGGTTAAAGCAGGGGCAGACTGACCATTTGGAAACTCGGGCACTGCCCGAGGGCCCGGGGTCAATAGCGGGCCCCGTGAGATGCCCCTGGTACCTTTTTCATAGGCTTTTTTGAGTTTGGGCAAGGACACAGGGGTCCCATGATCCCCTATTGCCCGGGGGCCCCATGAGTTGTCAGTCCGCCCCTGGGTTAAAGTTAGGAACAGGCTTACAACTCTTTAGAGCTGTGGTTATTAGCTCCTGGGGAAAATGTTTCTATCACTATTCCTCTTTTATGAACACATCAAATTGCACAGATAAACTGTATATAAAATTTTATATTAGTAGAACATTTTGACTGTCCCAAAAAAAACTCACCCATAGTGAGTTTTTTTAAGACTAACTTATCCCCACAGAAGCTGAGAGTAAAGTACTTTATACAGTACTTTTTCTTAGTAGAATTCTTCTTTAAATAGGTAAAAGCTGGAGAATAGAATGTTCTAAAGTTTCAAACATCTTCAATAATTTTGTTCTTTGTTGTAAAGCACAAAAGGTTATTGTATGGGTGCTTGAAAAAAGCAACATGCAGAAACTGAAACTTGGAGCTTTAAAAGGGTGCTCTATAGTTTCTGACAGCCAGGCGAGGATCAAGCTCTGCAGGGCTTTGTTAGAATATGTTGAGTCTGAATATTAGACATTTTGTCATTAACTCAATGGCATATCCAGAGTATGGCAGCTATGACGTATAATTTAGGAACAACATGAAGGGGGGAGCTGTGATTGTCCAACTTAGACTGAATGTCACTGTCCATTTCTTCCCCCTGCCCAGTCACCCTGTAGCTGCCAGTGCAACCAAGTTCTTCTCCTGGGCCTCCCCACTGGTGCAACCACTGCAGGATCACCCAATGCTGCCACACTGCAGGAAGGCTAAGGAGGACTTCTTTAACCTCCTTGGTGGTATTCCCGAGTGTAGCTCTGGGTAAAGGTTCAGTACCACAAGCGGTAACCCCGAGCTACACTCAGGCTTACCTTGCGGCACCGCTCCGCGATCCCTCGATCACTTACCTTGTCCTGCGCTCCCACGATGTCCCTCCTGCAGTGTCTCCGGCAATGTAATCTGGCGGATGCCGGCATCTGTCATCTGGGTTCCGTTCCCTGCGACGTCGGGACGTACGAGGACGGAATGGCGGGAAATTTGAAAATTACAAAAAGTGACTTTCACTAAAATCACTAAAATTACATAGTAAAATATTACTGTATCAAACCATTTCACATACATTTTGTCCCTAGTGCTTTGTCCTGTGCCCTGCCTGCATTTTTACTGTTCTTTCTGCCTGGAAACTGAGAAACGTCCATGGCGTCCAAAAAGCGTCCATTTAGGTCAAAAGCGGTTTTAGACCAGCTAGAGAACAGCGATAGTAAATTAGAACCACTTGCAGAATTGAGTGATAATGATTTGTGGGGCAATTCCTCATCAGACACTGAAAACGATTTTGCGACTTTGCTCAGCGATGTGCGAACTTGCCGCTATATTTCAAATTTCAGTGTTTTTGGTTTGATTATATTATTGAATTTCATTTATTATTATATTATTATTTTTTATGATTATTTATTAAATTATAATTTATGATTTCGTGTTCCAAGTTTTATCATATCCGGAATGTTTACTAGACTCTTGTTCGGACAGATTTCAGTGAGTTATTCCTAACAATTACAGGCCTGCAATAAAAAAATTTACCGCTTTAAGCACAGAAATATGGACATAATCAGACCGATAGGGAGGTTAAATCAGTAAATGAGCAATGAAGGAATATTTGAATAACAGTAACCTACACTCATTGGCCACTTTATTAGGTACACCTGTTCAATTGCTTGGTAACACAAATTGCTAATCAGCCAATCACAACCAGCAACTCAATGCATTTAGGCATCTAGACATGGTGAAGATGACTTGCTACCTGGCATGGTTGTTGGTGCCAGACGGGCTGGTCTGAGTATTTCAAAAACTGCTGATCTACTGGGATTTTGACACACAACCATTGCTAGGGTTTACAGAAAATGGTCCGAAAAAGAGAAAATATCCAGTGAGCAGCAGTTGTGTGGATAAAAATGCCTTGTTGATGTCAGAGGTCAGAGGAGAATGGGCAGACTGGTTTGAGATGATAGAAAGGCATGCTATCATATCAATATGGACCAACACCTTGTTAAATATATGCCACAAAGAAATTAACCTCTTGCATACTAGGCACTTTTACCCCCTTCCTGCCCAGGCCAATTTTCAGCTTTCAGTTGTGTTGCACTTTGAATGACAATTGTGCGGTCATGCAACACTGTACCCAAAATAAATTTTTATCATTTTTTTCACACAAATAGAACTTTCGTTTGGTAGTATTTAATCGCCACTGGGTTCTTCATTTTTAGCACTATAAACAAAAAAAAGAGCAACAAATTTGAATAAAAAAAGTTTTTTGTTTCTATTGTAAAATTTTGCAATCTCCTTCACTGATGTGCGTGGATGAGGCTGAACTGATAGGCAGCACTGATGGGCACTGATAGGCAGTAGTGATGGGCGCTGATAGGTAGCACTGATGGACACTGATAGGCTGCGCTGATGAGGCGGCACTTGTGAGCATTTATGAGGAGGCACTGATGATGCTGCACTCAAATGCAGCAATGATAGGCACTGATAGGTGGCACTGATGGGCACTGATAGGTGGCACTGACTTACAGCAATGACTGGAGGCACTGACTGACAGCACTGACTGCCGGCACTGATGGGCGGCACTGATGGGTACTGCTGGGTAGCACTTACCGTGACACTTCTGGGCACTGATGGATGGCACTTCTAGACACTGATGGGCAGCACTGCTGGGCACTGCTGGGTGGCACTGCTGGGCTGCATTGATAATCAGTGCCCTGATTATCAGTCCAGATCTCCTCTGTCATATTTGCCTGTTATTGGCAGTACTTTCCTCACGCTGTGACAATGACAGCATAACTCATGAAATAATAATAGCACATCATGAATATAGACATATTTACATTCCTCACCTAACTGGTGACAAGTGCAAACACCTTTATCTCAGACCAAATTGTCTCTAGGGCTTTTAATGCAAACTAAAAGAATCCCTGTCTCTTGAAGAGTGCTACTGTAGTATAAATCTCTGGACATACCTGTCTGTGGTTACAGTGCGTGTTGCAGACATTTATTCTAAAGTCATAGTTGTTATTGCTAAGATTATGAGTTTCCTCCTTCTCAGTAAAAAGGGGTTAATTGCTTAATTAACTTAATCCAGTCACAATCACTCCCAGGCTGCTGACACCTAGATTGTGGTCCCGCAAACTGGAAAATCTTTCTGCAGGGTTCAGCTGAGAGTGGGATTGTTATTTAAGTGACAGCACGGTGCGAAATTGGCCAGTCCTTTGTCGCGAGCATTCTTTGGCACTGCATTTGCCACACACATTGCTGGGGACCATAAGGCAAGTTTCTTTGGTATATGTGATCTTCTCCTTAGCACATGTTAAGAAATGGGACAGTCTAAGGCCTCACTGCTGAAGACCATAAGGCAAATCTTGGGGCAGTCTAAAGTCTCACAACTGAAGACCATGATGCCAGTCTCTTTAACAGCCAATCTTCTCTCTTTAGTATTTGTGGATACTGAACAGTCTAAGGCCTCACAGCTGATGACCATTAGGCTCTTTGACACCTGGTTACCCAGTACAACTTCAGAAATATTACACAGTACAGGACAGGCTGAGGACAGGGGAATGGCCAGTATCTGAGATCCTTTGAGATCTGGCACTTACCTCCCGAAAGCACAAAATCACCAGGAATCAGTAAAGGGTCATCACTTACAATTCCCCAGGACAGCTGTCACCTTCCAGCTGCCTCTGGACACAGAAAGATCCTTCTCAGGACCAGATCCTTTGTTGAAATCCTGCAATCAGTTTCCAAGGCCCATCAAGGCTCCCCCAAGACCCCTAGAGAACAGCAGCAAAATCCACGGTTTGTCTCAGAGGGGCAACAGTCCCCTCTAAGGATCTCCTTGCTGGGGAAGACAATCTATCCAGACTTTATAAAAAATAGTGAAGCGCTAACAATACAGTACAAAACACAAGAAATGTAAAATAAGCATACACATGACAAATACATTGACATAAACAAAGTGACAAACCAAAGTGATGATCCAAACGGATCGTATACCCTGAGGAACTCACGAGGGCGTGACGCAACGCGTCGGTTTGTAATTTCCGATGACCCACTTCCGGTCGGATGCATGTCTTGGCTCCATTCTCTGATCTATGCAGTACACCCATACTAAGTGGTGGTAACGTGTTTTTATCATTTCTTACATGTGAGTGTGCATTTTTTATTTACTTATTGATGGTAATAAAAGGTTTTACACTATGGAGGATGTCCTGTTTTTATATCATTGACGCTATGTGGGGAGTGTTACCTGAGATTGCTAGCAGCAGTGGATTCCATACTACCTCCTGGCCTGGACGTTGCCTTGGATTGGTATTCATAAGGCGAGTTGGCCCTTGTGGTCACCGCTTCGAGGTGAGGGGCCATTTCTGCCACTTAGGATTTATCTGCACCGTGTTTGAAGATCACCTATCACGAGCACACAGCTGTTGACCAACAGTTACTTTGCATGTTGGATATCCATACTGTTTTCCAGCACTAGTGTGGATTTTATACAGTTTCTTTTGGACTTTCACTCATGATTAATTTATTTCTATAGGAGGGACCGCTATTATTATTTTTTTCATTTATTTATTGGTCACGTTTTGCCGTGTTTTCATCCCCATAGGGGTCACACGATTTATGTATCAGTCCCCTAGTGGACCAGGGGTGGCTGGTTTGATTTTTTCCCCTATTGGGAAAGGGTTCACTTGGTAGAGTACAGATTGTACCTGTTCACCATCAGCAACACTTTATGCAATCCATTTGGATCATCACTTTGGTTTGTCACTTTGTTTATGTCAATTTATTTGTCATGTGTATGCTTATTTTACATTTCTTGTGTTTTGTACTGTATTGTTAGCGCTTCACTATTTTTTATAATTTTATTGCACCTTTTGGAATCAGGTTAGGTGATAGCAGCTATTCGTTTGATTTAATTGTCCCCATTTAAGCGCAGGAGGGTATTTATATTTTAATCTATCCAGACTATTTATCTGCTTCCAAGGGATAAGCTAGGCCCTGATCAATATGTTGGCTGGTTATTTGAATTCTCCCTCCTTAAGCTCTAGAAACCACTTCTAGAGGCAGGGGTAAACAATCAAACTCCCAGCCTATGAAACCCTGAACAGATCAATGCAAAAAATCACTATTCCCTTGACTACAGAAGGATCCAAAAACTAAATTTACCTTGCAGCCTTATTGGGAGCATTCTACACATGGTAAGCCAGTTTTTGGAAAAAGGTCAGGTTTAGAAAGACCACAGACAATACTAGAGACCAGACCTTTGCCACCTACCTGCCTTTTTGGGCACAGCTTCCACAGTTTAGGTTCTCTTTTCATGAACCTGTTACTTTGCCCTGCATAGGCAATGTACACATTCACTTCACAGCCCTGTTTTCCCTTCTTTATAGAGCTTCACTGCAAAATGTTATGATTTGTATCCGCTTTAGATTTAGAAATGCTTTAAAATACTTTGGAATAACTAAGTAATGGCCAAATCCTTAAGCATAAGTATCCATACATTTATTGCTGCGGACGGGAGGGAGGTGTTACTGACCAGGTTTGTTGGATTATGGAGTGCACTAAAGAGTGCGGTCAAGCTCCGATGCCTAATAGGCTGCACAATCAGACTTAACATGCAGAACAACTGCTGTACCAGGAAATTGGAGGTAGGACTATGAAAATAGAAGTTGTTAGAGCAATGGCTGTCTGACTGGATATATTTTTCTGTGACTTCAAAAATATTTTCACCAGCAGTAACATCATTCTAGCAATCCCAGCACAGTAGTGGGCTCGAGCAGCCTGTTACACACATTGCCTGAGTTTATCGATGGCCTAAATTAGAGACAGACTCACAGATTGTTTTACTGGGCTTTGTCTCTGCTCCAAAGCAGAGTCGGTGCCAATGGATATTTTTATTTGCAAGATTTGTGCCAAAAATAACTTGGAGGAGGGTCAAAAGCCCAGTGCATAAGGCTCTGCGGGGACAGCTAAGTTTACTTGTTCACAAAGAATTAACTACAAGCGCAGCTGGTAGAGTTTTCTCAAAATGTAAGGGGGAAACTATCTCCGGGGGGGGATCTAAACAAACA